TGGAGTATCTTAGATGGCTGCTCACAGGCTTTTAAGACCCCAGAAGCTACTCACCGAGGTAGAATGTAGAACATTTTCTTTATGATAAATCTTGACATATGCATACACCCGAGAAACCATCACCACAGTCGAAAGAGTGAACATATCCATCACCTCAAAATTTCCTCATGCCTCTCTGCAATCCTCCCTCCTGCCCTCTCCACCCTACCCTGTCACTTTAGATTAGTTTGCATTTTCTAGTTTTATATAAATGGACTCACACAGTATGCATCTTTTGTCTGCAAAGCCCCTATTTTTAACCTCTATGCCTCTCTCTAAAGAACACAACTCTAATTTGAGCTTTTTTTTTAATGGTAGATTTTAGAACGTAAGGACTTGTTCCAAAACTTTCTGCCTATAATCTGTCCCCCTCTTTGTGCTCACTGCCCTGTAGGCTCCTGCCTGGACCTCTTCTCCATCTCCTCCACGTGAGGAACCCCCATTCACCCTTGCAGATCCAGCTCAGTGTTACTTCCTCTGGGGAGCCCTTCCTGTCTTCCCTGGGGACAGAGGGAATCACTTGGTCCTCTGGGGTGCTGCAGTGCCCTGTCAGGGTGCTCTTACAGCACTCCCCATACTGCCCAGACGGTCTGCTGCCATGCCTGTGACGGCACATGGCCAGGTCCCAGTGCCCCGCCCACAGCAGGCTTCCTGCATTGTCAAACTGAATTAAATGAAATCTACTCTCTCCTTTGTACAGATTTCCTCTCTATGAGGTAGAGGTTCCTATGTTCCAGATGATGGAGCTAAAAGACAGAGCTTAAGTAACTGGCCTTAATTCCAAAGAAAGATAAAAAGGAGAAAGACCTCCCTAAAAAGGAAAACAAGAGTATTAACTCTACCAGATATCCTTAAACTAACAAAGGAAACAACTTATTAAATAGCTGGTTTCAGAGTCACCCTCATCCCACTTCCAGCATATTATCTTTTTGGCAACCACAAAAAAAATGTCTGTTTCCACAGCTAAGTTGGCCAAGTCTTCCTGGTTCTTTAGGCTCTTGCTCTTGACACTGGGAAGGACAGGTAGTTTTCTACCGCCACCACCCAGTCCTTCTTCTGGTAACAGGCCTTGCTGTGTACCCGGGGATCCACATTGTCAGTTCAGGAGGTATGGGTGGGGCTCCACCTCAGGGATGACCAATCAGAGCCCTACACCCACTTGTTCACAAGGATTGGCTCAAGGATGGGCACATGACCTAAGCTGTTCCAATCAGAGAGAATCTCATCGCCTCTACAGGCATGACAGGAAAAGACTCCACCCAGCTGCTTCCCGTTAGACTTGAAACTGAGAGGATTTGAAAGTCTCTCAGGGAAGCCATTCTGCCTCCTCTTGAAGCCTGAGACTGAAGCCACGCGGCAGAAGGCGGAGCTGTGACCTTGAGAGAAACCAAGTCCAAAGAGTTCGTTTGAGCCCTAAAACCATCCAAGGGAAGGTGGCCCCACCCATAGTCTTTTCAATGATCTGAGCCAGTTAATTCCCTTTTGCCAAAGCAGCATGGTTTTGTGGTTTCGTCAGTTGCAACCAAAAGGGTCCTAACTGATGGATGGGCCCTGACTGGTCAAATTCTACTTCCACGATAGGCTCTGGTGGTTCCCACTCTAAGGAAGAGTGTAAACAGGGACAGGGCTCCTCAGCTTCCTTCTGTGATGAATCATCAACCCACCAGTCTGACTAGCCACCCTTCAGCCCAACAGAGAGGAACTGAAACCCTAGCTAGAGGCTCCTGGGAAGCACCCCAAGATAAGACAGAGTTGTCGTGGAAGATCATTAACTCTCTCTTCTTCATGACTAACCCCTGATATGCTCTAGGCAACATTCTGTTAGTAACAGTTTCCAGGCCAGAAGGCTACACCTTGAGAACCAGCTCCAGCCGGGTACCCACGCCTGCGCAAAACCTGACCTCGGAACCTCCCTCCTCCTGACAGGAGCAGATTTACCAGCCCACCGTTGTACCTGGAGTCCATCCACCTGTACATCCAGCCCAAGAAGACTTGGCAAATGGACTCCCAAACTTGGACGGTGGGGGGAATTCCAAGAATGGGTGGGCTAAGGGGGGCTGACATGTAAGACCCAGAACCAGTCTCCCCATAAAAGATCCCCAAGTCCCCAGCTGGGAGAGCTCGCAGTCTTCTGGTCACTAGACCCCGCGTTGCTCCTTATCTGCACAGGTAATAAACTTGCCACTTTCTGTTTCCCTTGCAACTGGTGTCCGTCATATTTCAATCAGCCAATGGGACAGGACAAGAACCCAAGAGGCGTTCAGTTACAGAACCTCATACAATGGAGGCCATAGCTTCAAGGGCAACCACAGAGGACACACCACCAAAGTCCTTAATCTGACGGACAGACTCCACTGGCAAGCTTCCCTAAACTATATAAAGTGCTAATCAAATATTGTAAAATGCTAGTCATGTAACAGATGGTTAGCATCTGCAGTCCTCAAAATTAACATTTGGAAAGAGCACAACTTTGTTACTCAAAAACCCAGGCAATACTTAGTAACCAACCCAGCAAGTATGGGCGGCAGATTATTTTCAGCTCAATTATAATACTTAGTCACTCAGTAATAACTAGTAGAGCATACATGTGTGGGTCTACTTAGAAGAGCTCAACTAAAAAATTTTAATTTAATTTAAAATGTGGGTTTTCTATTGTCTAAGGGGCAAAGAAGTACACAGCACCATTGCTAAAGTCGAACACTGTGGCCCTGGGAACGCTCACTTATCCAGCATTTGGACTTGACCTTAGCCTCCCCACCTGAGTCCTTATCAAGCATTTGGACTTGACCCTAGCCGCCCCACCTGAGTCCTTATCCAGCATTTGGACTTGACCCTAGCCGCCCCACCTGAGTCCTTATCTGGTGTTTGGGCTTCACCTTAGCCTCCCCACCTGAGTCCTTGATCCCAGTAGTAGCATGTCCTGATCAGCCTCTTCCTGTTCTGAACTGTTCTTGTAGGTCCTGCCACCTAGCCTTCCAGGAATACCTAGATTCCTGCCCTGTCCCAGCCTGGTTCTTCAGTCTTCTCCTTGATTCTGCGAGCTCCTTACATTCTTTCAAAAAATTCCCTTTTGGTTAAGACCTCCTATTCTCCCTACCCCCACACAGAAAGAGACTCTCTCCTGT